GTTTTAACAAAAAATGCAGATGTTTTATATAATTCTTCATTTATTTTTGAATAATTATTTCCATTAATTGCAAATATTGGTGTTAACATAAAACCATCACCTGAACAACAACAATAAATATTTGATAAATGTGATGTTCTTCCAAATAACTGTGGTTTTTTATTTAAACAAAAACAATTAAATTGTTTTCTATGATATAATTGAACTCCAATTTCTTCTGTTAAAAAAATATATTGAAGTTCAATTCCATGTACTTGTTTTTTAATAAAATTAATTTCTTTTATTGATTCTTCATCTGAAAGTATATTTAAATATGGATATGCTGATATTTGTTTAAGTCCAACACTTGAAATATATTTAACAATATTTGGTTGATTATAATTTAAATCTTCTAATATTGATCTTACTAATTGTGGTGTAATAATACCTCCTTTTTCTTCTATTTCTTTTACTTCTTCAATAAGTATTTTATCTGATTCTGTAAATTCATTTATTGGTTTTGTAATAATTTCTTCATGTTTACTTTCATTTGTTGTTATTGGTTGTTCTATTGTATTACTTTGAAATGATGAAAACTCTGTTTCAGATGATAAATTAACAGACTCTTCTTCCATTATTTTTTCAGTTTTGAATATTTCTAGTTTTTTCTTTTCAATTGAATAATCCAAAAATAAAAGAAAAACTTGAAAAAGAATTTTATGCAAACTTCTCCTCTTCCTATCTCTTCTCTTAATTCTCAAATAAATAAATTAAATACTTCTCTTGATTCAATTTTTATTCAATTTAAAAAAGATGAACATATTATTTTAATTAATTCTCCTAATCAATGGTCAACTATGGATGAAAGAAAAACTTATCGTGACATTTGTGACTGGGCATTTACTCCTTCAAATATTCATTTTTAAAATTTATTTTTTTCTTATTTTAAAATTTTTTTTTATTATTTTACTTCTTCTTCTTTTTTTTTTCAGTTTCTTGTTTTTTATTTAATTTTGTCTTTTTATTTTGAAAACATTCATAATATTATCCTCTTTTTTTAATAACTCTCATCAAAAACATTAAAAAAAATTGGTTTGTAACTTCATATTTATATTTAACTTTCTCCTTATGTTTTTATTTTTAATGTTAATTAATGAATAATAAATATAATATAATTTCAAATTAAATAGTATTAAAGCTAAATGTTTCTATTCTAACATAAATTTGTTATTCAATGTTTTATTCTTATTTTTATTAATTAATGTTAAATTATTCTTAAAATACGTCATGTGTTATTACTCAAAAGATTTATTGAAACAATAAAATTAATGATAAAATTGAATTGTTATTAAGTTAGTTGTTCATTTAAATAAGTTTAAACATATTTATTAATCATTTTTAGAACATTACAATTACTTTTTGAATAATATTTCTTAATCTCAAAAATAAACAACTTCATTTGATTTATACCATTAAAAAAACAGTCAAACTATAAAAGCTATTCTTTTTTTTTTCAAATAATTAATAAATTAAATAAGTTACATTCATTTCATTAAAAGAGATAATCCAATTGAATATAATGTTCTTATTTGGTCATATTCATATTTTTTATTTAAATTTTATGAAATGAATATAATTGATATATGTTTAAGAAGTTGTTTATAGAGTTATAATATAGTTTCACAACAATAATAAATAATATTATTCGCATTTTTACAAATTAATTAAATATCACATACTTTAAAAAAAAAAATAAAAAGTAGATATTCAATCAAATTAATTTTATCAAATAATAATGTTAAACCTATGGGATGTGATGTTATTTGTGAAAGTAAAACCATTGACTATATTTTTTTGTATAGTTCTCAAGTAATAGAAATTAGTTATTATTATTTTTAATAAACTACTTTGTAATTGTTAATAAACTTACTTTTAACCCATCACATGACTTAATAAATTCATGAAAACCCCGTTGAGTATTAAATAGAATATAAAAGATAAATACTATTTATCTTTTTTTACATTAAGTAGAAGAATTGAATAATAACACAACAAATATTAAAGTCAATATCTATACCAAAAATAGATTTAATAAGAATTTACAATTTAAATTTACATTGAAATTTCATTCGATATATTTTTATATGTTTTTGAATTATTTTTTTTGTCTATATTTCCTGATGAATTTGTGTATTTTTTTATAGATTAAGAAAAATACTGATAATTAAATATAAAAAATTGCTGTCTTTATTTTGTGAGTTATTTACAATGTACGTTTTTAAAACTGAATTGTTAATTTTTTAATAGATGATTGATTTGTATTAGGTTAAAGAAAAACATGTTCTAAAGGTATAGAACATAACAAAAGATGAATGGAAATATTGTTATGTTATTACAATTTACAATTAAAAAAAAGTATTGAGGTTTTTGGGTAAGTTTTATTCTTCTCATACAAATTATATTTTTCTAAAGGTATCACTAAAAATAATTAATGAATTACTTAAAAAACAAACCAAACACAATTTTAAGTGAATATAATGAAAATAATTTATTTAACCATTTTTATTATTAAACGTGAGAATATTCAAATATTTTATAATAAAAAAAATGGATGGTATTCAAGACAACATATTCATAAATTTGATGAAAAAAAGCTAAAAATATCATTATTACTTTAAATGGTTTTATTTAAATCTATTCCAATTTTGGTTCAGTTAATCTTTAATAAATTATCATCATTCAAGTAGTCTAAAATTAATTAAAGACATACTTTTTTATTATCCACTTTAACTTAAATAAATAGATAAGATTCTATACACTGACAAAGACATTTACATTTAATTAACTTTTTTTATTAGGTATTGTTCATTTTCTCTTTAAGACTAACAATAATTTCTTTAATAAACCAAATTCAATTCTTTTTTAGTGTAATATTTGAGAAGAATTGAAATGTACTAAATAATATATCCAAAATAATACGATTATTAAATCAGTATGAATGTAAAAATAAAGAATAAATGACTTTCTCTTTGATTAATTTAGAACACAAAAACCTGGAGAATAAACAAAAGAAGAGTCAAGCATAAGACTCAATAAGAATTTATTTATTTCCTATTTTTCAAAAATAAAAGAAGCGAAAATAAATTTAGAAAAAAGAAGAGATAGAATTAAAAAAAAAGATTCAATATTTCTCAATCAAAAAGAAGGAAAGGAACTAACGCTAAGACAATTCAAAAAATATAATCTTTTGTTAAGAAATTACTTTAATGAAGAATAACACAAAAAAAAAACATAAAAAATCAAATTAAAAAATAACAGAGTGAAGAATTAAAGTTACATGAAAATTTAAATGGTATACACAACAAATTATAAAAAATAAGGAGCTGGATAAAGACTTGAGTCTTTAATTGTTTCTATCCAGTAATAAACTCTCTCTTCTTTATCTTCATTTGAAAGAAATCCAAACCCATGAGAACATAAATTCTTTTTTGTTAATCTTTGACGAGTAAATGGTTCAGAAGATATAGAACGTTTTGGTTTATATTCTGAAATGTAATTTACTTTATCTTCACTAGGAGAGGATGACCTTTTATTAAAACTTCCTTCAACAAAAGTTTCAGAAAGAGTAACAAGAGGGAATTTTGTATGGTAATGAGGACAATTAGGTAATTCAACAAGTTTGGATAATGTTGGTTGCATAATAAATATTTGAATAATGAATTTTAAGATAAATGCTTTAATATCTTGTGAGAAAGAGTTTTAATTCTCTGTTAAGTTCAAACGAAAAGAAAAAGGAAAGGTTTTTGAATTTGATTGTTTAAAAAAAAAAAATTTTGAGAAATTTGTCATCTGTAAGTAATTTTTTTAATAATTCTTCCTCAAATGTCTGATAGTAATACAAAATATTCACTCGAAAAATGGTTTTATTTTTTTCCAATCTTTCAGAATATGACTTAAAATACTTTTTCTATTTTCAAACCAACAACCCCACAAATTAATTTTAGAACTTTCTATTTTTATTTATTAAAATTCTAAAAAAAAGGAAATGATTGCTGGAATTTAAATAATTTCTTTGTATTTTATTTTCTTCGAAAATGACTCTTTTGTTCATTTACTTTCGATATTTATCTAATTTAAGTTTTCAACTATGGTTTTTCCTAGTTATTGGTTTCTTTTTTAGCATTTTCTATTACATTCTTTAATTTTTTGATGTACCTAGTTAATTATCACATTTGTTATTTATTCAAGTAAAAATCTTCAAAAAACTCTCATCAGCACTTATGTTTTTAACAAAAGAAAGAGACAAATGGTAAATCAAAAAGTAGATGATGCGTTTCAAAAAAAAAAAAAGAGTAAAATACTAGTCAATTTCGAATAAATTCAACAAAGGCACTAAGAAACAACACATGAAAGGTCCTAATGCTATGCTGAATAATAATGAAATAGCTCCAACTAAAATTAATGGAATAAGTGCAATAGAATAACTATATGAATGTCTAACACCAATATCTAAAGTCAATAATACCAATTGACAAATCAAAAATATAGTAGAGACACAATTGAAAATAAAAGAAATAATAGTAAAGTTAAAGTCTTTGAAAGAAGAATAGACACAACTCATTACAAAATAGAAAATACCAACTATCATAACGGTTAAACAATCATGTTGTGGGTCATTACCTGCTAATCCAATGGAAGTAATAAAAATAATT